GCGAGCGAGAGCGCGTGAGAGCACACGCGTGCTATGTTCTGAAAATACCCTGCTGGTTGAAGCGGGCTGGGGTGGGGAGGGAGAATGGATTGGAGAGAGGTAAGAGTGGAGCCCTGGAGAGAACAGTGAGGAGGCCGCTCCCTCCTGGGGCAGAGGGATGCTTGTGGTCTGGACCAGAGTGGGGGTCTCGAGGAGCGACCTGCAGGATGTTGAGGGATGGAACCATGACATTCCTCTGCCCCGGGCTTTCCAGGAATAAGGGTTAGAGAAAGATGCTGCTGGAGTTGGAGACGCCCAGCTTCCCCCTCCGCTTTCTCCCTGGCTCTGCTCCCGGGCTCATGGGAGGGGGGAGAGGCCCAAGCTGGAAGTACCATGTCCTCTCCCATTCTGAAACCTTTCTTTTCTTTGTCAAAGGTGAAACATGCCGCAGCTTCATTGACCTGGCCCCGGCATCGGAGAAAGGTGAGTGTGGCCCCACCCTCTCTGAAGGCATCTTCCCTGCCCAGGTGGCTTCTTCCAGCCCCGGGAATGCCTTAGTTCAGGTGTTCCTGAAAGCTAGAAATCCCATGGCAAAGTTCTGGCTTCAGAGATGTGGGAGAGGCAGGTGATGGGGAGATCATCTGGCTCTCCCCTACCTGGTGGCCTGATCCAGTGATTCATCACCTCTCAGTCAGTTCTAGTGCATGCTGGGACTCTGGGGGCCGGACGATGGGGAGGGTAGAAATTGGGGTCTGGCAAGACTAGTATTGTGAATTGCATTACATTCTTCCCCAAATATGTGTTGAAAATGCCAATCACTAAGCCTGCGGTTATAATCCCTTTGGGACTGGGTTGTCATTGTTAGGTTAATGAGGCTGGATTAGCATGGAGTGGATCTCAAGTCAATTTCTTTTGAGAGATAAAGGTGATCAAACAAGTGAGCAGAGCATAGATGGGGAAGAGAGATGCTGAGCAGAAGCCTGGAAGCTCAGGATCTTTCCCCAGGGCAGATGGAGAGAAAGCCTTCCCTTTGAACTGTCACCTCAGGTTCCACTATGTAGCCTGTTAAATAGTGAGAAAATCTATCTCTGTTGATGAAGCCACCCCTTGTGGTATTCTGTGATAGCAGCACTGGATAACTAGCCAACCAGTATAGGTGGCATTGCCCCAGCTGTAGGATTTGACTGGAAGGAAGGAAGCCATATGTCCCAATGGTATTCTCATAGGGATGAGGAGGTCTGAACTACTTAGAGAGTCCCATTAGTGTGCAGGGCCCAACAGCACAATTCTGAGTACCTCCCCCTCCCCCCCTCAGGATGCCCAGAGCCATGCAAGGCAGGGATGGGGTGATGCGAGGAGACCCAATGGATCTGGTTAAGCTGCAAGTTATATCGGTTGCTGCCGAGTTGGTTTCAATTCATGACAGAGTAGGACTGCCCCACCAAGGCTGAAACCTTTACAACAGAGACCGTCATGTCCTTTCCCCGTGGAGTTGGTTAGTGGCTGAGCACTTTAACCACTGCACCATCAGGACCCCTGCTGCAAGTCATATGGCGTCAGTGAAGAAATTGACTTCGGTCGTATACAAGTTTAGAGGTAGGCCATCTGCATTGCTCTGCTGCACAAAGTGCTCAGGGTCCAGCCTCCTTCCAGCTCCCCACTCCTCTCCGGCATCCGCATGCCCAAGATGTGGCTAGAGCTCCAGCCAGCATCCGCATCCTAGGCAGTAGGACAGCTGTTAGATGCTGTCAAGTCGCCTCTGACTCAGAGACCCAATGCACAGCAGAACGAAATACTGCCTAGTTCTGCGCCCCTCACAACACAACTGTTCATGGGCTTAAGCCCACCGGTGCAGCCACTGGGCCAATCCATCTTGTTGAAGGTTGGATTAGTCTGAGTTGACCAAGAAACAAATTCATTGACACTCATGTATAAGAAAGAGTTTTATATAAAAGAGCAAGAGTGTCAAACTGTCGGTCAAATGCGGCCCCCGAGGTAATTGTTTGTGGCCTGTCATGCTCTGAAATAAAATTAAAAAAACAAAACAAAACATTGTTATGAAGAAAATAGAGCTTAGGGGAGATCGAGGCAATACCATACACACAATTCCCTTGGTAGCACTTTAACTGCTGAAGACCAGTATGCATGTGGCCCAGTGCCTTTCCTGGGGGCCTGTGGACATGTATAAATGCACTGACTCAGTTCTGGTGACATTTGGAAGCGATCTGTCTGCCACTCTCAGTGTCACATAATGTAAACAGATCCCAGTAGTGAAAAGGTTAAAAAGGGCACTCTGGGTTGTGCTGTTAGGAATCATACCTAGCGGCAGCGCTAGTTGACATTTTTAGAGGCAAGCCATTATGATTGTGCATCACGTTTGTCAGCTGTCCAACATTTTGTGTTTTTTATTAGTTACTTTGTTTTATTTTATGGTCACAACATAAGAGGTAAGTGAAAATTAGTAGGAGGAAAGTGCTGGCAAGTTTTGGGTAAAAAAGAATAATTTTAGTTTTATAACTACATTAAATAAAATAAATGTTTAAATATAAGCAATTATATAGTATTTTAATTATCCTATCCATATTCCTGAATCCTCACTTCAAAATATAAATTTAACAAAATTTGTAAATGTGATGTGGCCCGCATGAATCTTGCCTGTTGCACCAAATGACCCACGTTTTGAGTTTGACACCCCATGTAAAAGAGCAATTATCTATTGAGGAAACATCCCAGCCCAGTCCAGATCAAGTCTATAAGTTCGATATTAGCTCATATGTCTGATACCAGTCTGTAAATTCCTCTTGAGACACATGCAACACATGGCAATGACACTGAATGTAGGGAGATCACAGGACAGTGGGTGGAAAGTCCTGTGGATCCTGTGTGGTGGAAGTCTCTCAGCACTGGCATGGATTTCCATGTGGCACCTTCAGCTCTCGGGCTCTGGCTTCATCACTGCAACTATATGGTTTGTCAACAGGAATGTCTTGCAGGGAGAGAATGTATCTAGCCTCCAGTGAGCTATTTATCTCTGCCACACCTCCAAATGAGGTCATCAAGCTGCGACCTGATTGACAAGCGAGACTCTACCCCTTCCTCAAGTTGTCAGTAGATTATGTAACTACCACAAAGGTCTTCCTCTTTTTTGATACCCCTCTACTTTACCAAACAAGATGTCTTTCTCCATGGATTGGTCTCTCCTGCTATGTCCAAAGACAGGAGACAAAGTCTTGCCATCTTTTCCTCTAAGGAGCATTCTGGTTGTACTTCTTCCAAGACAGATTTGATTGTTCTTTTGACAGCCCATGGTACTTTCAGTACTCTTCCCCAGCACCACCATTCAAGTGCATTGATTTCTACCCACATATGAAGCAATTGGAAATATGGCTTGGCCCAGGCACACCTCGGTCCTCCAAATAACTTCCTTGCTTATCAACACTTTAAAGCTATCTTTGGCAGCAGGGCAGAGGGAGGGCTAAGAAGAGTGGGCAAAAGTTGAGGTTTGCAGAAATTACCCCACAGTACTGACTTATATCTCATTGACCAGAACACTGAAGTGCAAGGAATGCTGGGTGATAGGTCTGTGTCCCCAGCTGAAAATAAAGATTCTAAAAATAATTTTTGGAAGGCCAGGACAAATGTCTAGAACAATGGGGAAACTTGCCCTAGGAACTCCAGGGAGAGAGGTCACCTCCCACCCTGCCTACCTCTGACACCAAGGAGGAAGCTTGCCAAGAGAGAAGCAGATGTGCAGGGACCTTCAGACAGCCCAGCAGAGTTTAGGAGAAGCTCTGGTCTTGGGACTTGGAGGAAACTGATGCAGAAGTTACTCAGCCTGCTGGGTAACTCGGGAGTTCCTGATACCTCCTGGTAGTTGAGAAAGGAAAGAGGAAGCCAAGAGGGGCATGTACCTGCAGGCTAGCGGCTCTCTGGTCTCACAGACACTGTCTTCTTGGACAGCTCCAGCCAAATAGCAACACGTTAGGTGCGTGCG